ACCTTGTTGTCCGCATTTGAAGCAAGTGATGGGTGGTGGGAGTGGACCCAAGGGTACCTTCAGGTAACTGCAGGTTTTTTGGGGGGAAAAAAAGGAAAAGGCTTGCACGTGTCTCCCTTTTCAAAACCTCTCTACGATTCTTCCGTCGCCCTCGACGACCGGGTTTGACACAATCCACACTCACTTGCTGGGGTCGTAGTAAGAGCAGGACTGCATCATCATGACTCTGATCTTTTCCTCTTCAGGAACGTTGGTCTCAGCCAGGCTGGGGCTCTGCACAGCAGAGAAGGGTTGGACACACACCTCAGGAACGAGTTTGAGCCCCCCCAGCCAAAGATGACCCCACTCACACCAGCCCTGGGAAGAGCAGCCCTGTGCCGGCTCTGGTTGGATGAAACAGCTGCTTGTATAAAACAGAGCTGTCCTGAGGGTCTCCTGGGGAGTCCTTGCACCATCCCACGATGTTTCTGAGCCTGGGAACCCACCTGGAAAGAGCAGGCTGGGGCACTGAGAGCCTTGGGCCCTGTTTGTACCTGGCAGCAAGTCTTGGGTAACCAGCCCAATCTGCTTCCAAGAGGACTGAGGGTATGTGTTGAAAAAGTTGTACTATCCAGTATCTTTAAAACTGATTTTTAAGCTCCAGACTATTGGCAGAAGGTCTCTGCTGCACTTGGAGTTGGGAAAGATGGGTGCAAGCAGCACTGTTTACATTTTGCAGCATTAGGAGGACACCCCATTGCAGAGGCAGGGCAGCTGGTTTGGCTTGCTGAAATTCAGCTTCAGACACAGGAGCATTAAAAGGAAACAAGCTTTTCATAACTGCTCAGCAAGCCAGAGGTTCTTTTCAGCAGCCTGACCATGGTGTGCTGCAGGCAGTCCAACTCCACAGTCCCCAGCTTCTTCTATTCAGTCATTTAACTGCAGAAAACACAATCTGCAGGTTTTTGCAGTCGAGATGGTCTTTTTCACATCCACCTTGTGATAGAAACCCTCTGCACAACCAGATCTTCAGATTATTGAAGCCAGCTGATTTTTTTTTTCTAAGTAATATTTGTTCAAATGATTTTATTACACACTAGTCCAGATACAAGCAGGGCCTAAGGGAGTAAATGAGTGGTTTGGACCTTCAAGCACCCAACCACTCAGGGTTTTGCTTTTATTCACACAACAAACCAAGTAAGGCCAACAGTTTATTTTGTGGTTGTTCCATGGACAGTGTTTTCTCCAAATAACATAACCCAGACCGACATCTATGAAACAATTTCCATTAACATTTAAAAAAAAGAAGTTATAGACACTTGAGTAATTTGTTTGAATCGAAATGGTTCACAAAACACATCCAAGCCCCCCAGAACCACTCCTAGAATAGACCAAAATTCAAATATGGCATTTGGTGCAGAGCAATAATAGAACACAAAATGTTTTAGAGCACGTTGCCCCCGTGCTGAGCCAGTCTGCAAACCATCACAAGAGTAAAACTTCACAGGAGTTTACAGAGGCAACAACATCTTTAAGGACAGCACTAGTGAAGACCAATTTCTTTTGGTGGCTGCCTTCCAAACTGATTTTTATTTTTTCCTTCTGGCCAATGTACATAGTGTGATTTCTGCAGTGGAGGAGGGAAGACATTACCAGTGGGAAGGGATTTCTTTTTTTAGGAAATGAATTCCAGCCTTTATTATCAGAAGAAAGGACTTGCTGCTGTGTTAGTTTTCAGCACAAAAATAATGAATTGAAATAGTCAACAGCTGCTGAAGTGCTTCTTCTTTGTGTCTTGAAGGTGAGTGATACTGCAGCATTATGTTGGGGCTGATAAGGTGCTCCCCTTCTATCTTCCCAAACTGGGAACTTCTCCCAGGATAGTACTCATACATACATTTTAAACTTAAAATGCTTAAAATAAATACTTAAAATTACTAAAAATAAAGTTTTGTTCTCATTACAACAGTTATCCAGCTATAGAACACAGTGTAAGATTTAAAATTATGAAGCAAACATATTTTTTCTTTTAGTATTAGAGAATAATATCTCTACCTCAACAAGCTGGGCCAGAGGAAGAGGTACAGAAGGGTCAGCAATCTGTTCAAAAAAATTAAACACATATTCAAGTTCTGCAACCAAAACATGGCAATAGTTAACCCCCACAGTGGTCTGAAAGTCTGCACTACAGCCTCTGCCACTGAAAAAGGCCTTTCCACCCTAGTGCCATGGGTGTTTCTTCAAAACAAAGTCCAACCTCATGACAGATTAGGAAAGCCCCTGAAAAGAAGCTGAGAGAAACAAACCTGCCTGAGATCAACTTATTGCTCAGAACATCTGGGGAGGGGCCCTTGTCAAATGCTCACAACTGTGCACAAGTTGAAGGGGTAAGAAAGGTGTCAATTTTCAGCTAAAAAGGATATAAAGACCATTGAAGTCTATTTGATAAGGAAACATCACTACAGGAAACTTATTTTCAGTGCAATTAGTGCCTCATCACCTATAAATGCAGGTGGAGATGCTTTTCTGAGCACAGTGGAGCTGTTTGGCACCATCAGGCACGGGCGTAGCAGCCCTGAAACGTGACCTCTGCCCTCCTGGCAATCAGTCCAGAGGTGCCAAACTCACCAGATCCCACAGAATCCAAAGGAAAACACCAGCTCTGAACATCAACCATTACTGTAAGGCACCACTTCGCCTAGAGAAAACCCCAGCTGCTCAAACTACTGCAGTGAAGGTGTTTGCCATGAGAGAGTAGCCTACAAAACCAGAGGAGACTGGTTTCATGTCTTTTATTAGACCACAGGCAATATCACCCACATTGGCCTGAGAAGTGTGAGAATTTAGTATTATTCTCCTTGCTATCAGACCAGACACAATTTTTTACTGATGATGAATTGATGGCCCTCTATTTTTTCTCCATTGCAGCCATACATAACCCAGACTGACATCTGTGAAACAATTTCCATTAACATTTAAAAAAAAGAAGTTATAGACACTTGAGTAATCTGTTTGAATCAAAATGGTTTGCAAAACACATCCAAGCCCCCCAAACCACTACTAGAATAGACCAAAATCCCTCCCAGATGCCAACTGGAACATCTGGCAGGAATGCAGTCCCCAGGTCTGGTTAGGACTGAGCTGCAGTGCTCTTGGGGAACTGTGCAAATGATGGCTTGGCTCAGGTTTTACTGAAAAAAAAACTGTGCTGAGTCAAATCAGCTGCATTTACAACATATACTAAATTTGACTGGAAAATACATCAAGGCTTGGAAAATTAGTACAAGGGTTTGTATTAATTGTTTAGAATTAAGTGTAGAGAAAGGTTGTGGGTTTACATACTGCTTTTGGTGTTCCCTTGGCTGGGTTTTTTTGACATCTGGAAGAAGAAATAAAGGTGATCAGAACTTAAAGCAAAGCACTCCCAGCCAGCACAGAGCAGTGAAACCAGACCCTAAAACCAAAGCCATGTTTGTGAGCACAACCCTGAGGCATCAAGAGTGCCCGAAAGCACTGAAGCAATGACAGGCAGGGCCACACAGAAATTCAGGGGGTTTTGCTTGGATTTGCTTCCTGGGGACCAGGATGCTGCAGTCCTGTTTGTTTGGGACACGCTGTGACTCCTCAGGGCACTTTATTTATTGAGAATCAACACCAGAAAGACATGGCAGAGTTGTCAGCTGATAATATCTCCTCACTGTGGGCAGAGGCACCTCTTTCAGAAGGATGGACTTTAGGTGGTGCTGGTGGAGCTGAACCAGAGCTGGTGTGAATGAACACAGAAAGGACAACAATAATCCTGTAGTCAGGATTGCACCTGAATATCTGTAATTCTAACCAGTACCACTGATTCTCTGTCCAGAATTAAAACTTGGAACACAGGGATCAGCTCAGGGTACTGTCCTGGCTTTTGGCCAGGACAGGGTTAGTTTTTTGAAGAAACCAGGAGGGGCTGTGACCAGGGCCCAGAGGTTATTCTGTCCCCCCTCAGGTCATTGCCAGGGCAGGGAGAAGGGACTCTATTCCAGGGGGAAGGGGTTCCATCCAGCTGAGCAAACGTGGTGTCCAGTATTGTCTATTATCTGGGGTTTTTTTCCTGTGTGAATCATTACTTTTCTTACACCTTTTGTTATTAATATTGTTGCTGTTGCTGTTCATTTTCTCACCTCACTTCTCTTTCCTGTAAATTGTTCTTATCTCAACCTGTGATCTTTGCCTTTTGTTCCTCCCGTTGGAGTGGGGAGGGGGTGTTAGTGGGAGTACTAAATTGGAGAATATCATTCCTAAACCCCAACAGGTACAAACAGACACAGAAAGATAACCTGTAACATTTGGTAACATGCTAAATTGTTTTTATGAATTTCAGTATTGGAAGGGAGTAACTATTCCTTCGTTGCACTCACACAAAAACCAGTGCAGTTTAGGGTATGGTTCTTTTTCTCTTGCCTGAAATGAACACTGTCTTTAGGAAACTAAAAGGAATTAATTATGGATGAATATCCTTGTTTGCACAGGTCACCAGCTGGCAACCCTTGGTGTTTTATCTACAGCTAGTATGGGTGTGAGAATGAATACCTGCCATACCCTGCAGGGACTCCTGCAGGAGGTCTGACCCTTCCCCAAGTGCAGGAAAGAGTCAAACACTGATAATCAGACCCTTCTGAAAGGGGAACAAACTTTACCCTACAAGGTATATCTGCCTTTACTATAAAAGCAATAAAAGCATTCACATAGAATACAGAATCTCTCCATGTAGAGGGAACAGGATCTGTGACTTGGCTCTCAGCAAAATCAACCCCAAGAACAAACCCTATGGAATCATCTTAAAAGTCACCATTGCTGGAGTTTGAACTCCATGTCCCAGCAGGCCAAAAAATCTGGTGCCTTTGGGGCAGATACATTAAAATCTACTGCACAACAACACAAAACAACTGCAGCTTTAACATGTACAGTCTGAATTATCCATTGAAAAAGCTCACACACCGACACCCCTCACAAGGGATCCAGTGCTTCGTGGGTACTCACTTAGCTTCTGCTCTGCTGGCAGCTGTGCCTGCTCCAGCAGGGACTCTCCTCACGATCACCGAGGAATTCTTCAGGATCAGGGCATTGGCATCGGTGTATTCTCAAAAAAAACACAAGAAAAAAACCCCCATGAGAATGGAGATTCGTGGGAATGGGTATTAATATCCCTTTAGGGATCTGAAAGCAAAATTATAGGTGCAACATCGTGCTTTGATTGTCTCAACACACAGACAGAACCTTTGAAGAAATCTTCAGGTTTGATAATCAAACCAAAGTAACAAAATCTTTCTCTTTCTTTTTTTTTTTTTTAATAGTTTGAATGCCAACAGCACAATGCTCTCCAAGGGCACTAAAGGACAGTTGCTAATTCAGAAGGTTCTTTCCTGATCTGGCTTGAGTTGCTTTTGCTTCTGCTAGGCTACAGACCCAGCAGATCTTTGGAGAAAGGTGAGCCACAGCAGTCTCCCTAAAGTCAGATTAGCTTATCTGCAACCAAACAGGTACATGGTTAAAGTCTGAAACCTCTGCATCATCTTTTTCATGGCTTTAGCAGTTCACCTGCACTGCTGGTGCTCGGGACTGACAGACCACAGCTGTTCATTCCCATTGCTTTCAGCTTTCTCTGCCAGATTCAGAGAAATCTGCCCAGTTTGCTTTAATGTCATAGAAACACAGAATCACAGAATGCTTTGGGTCAAAAGGGATCTCAAAGATCATCTCGTTCCACCCCCTGCCATGGGCAGGGACAGCTTCCACTAGCCCAGGTTGCTTCAAATCCAGGTTGCTTGGACACTTCCAGGGATGGGGCAGCCACAGTTTCTCTGGGCAACCTGTGCCAGGGCCTCCCCACCCTCACAGGGAAGAATTCCTTCTCAATATCTCATCTAACCCTGCCCTCTGAGAGTTCAAAACCACTGCCCCTTGTCCTGTCACTATCTGGCTGTATTAACAAGTGCCTCTCCCTCTGCCCCTCCTGGCAATCAGTTTAGAAATGTCAAACTCATCAGATCCCACAGAATCCAAATAAAAAACCAGTTCCAAACATCAACCATTATTGTAACACACCACTTCATCTGGAAACAATCCCAGCTGTTAAAACTATTGCAGTAAAGGTGTTTGCCATGACAGAGTAGCCTATAAAACCTGAGATGGGAAAACCCTGCTTTTAATACGCCCTCTTGAGATACTGGGTCACTGCTTTGATGTGTCCCCACAGCCCTCTCCGTGCTGAAATATCCTCCCACATTTCATCATCATTTTACCTTGAGAAATTCCGGAAAACAAAAAAATTTATCATCACTCTATGTTGCACATCAATGTGCAAGGTGGGGATTGGTCTCTTCTCCCAGGCAGGTATCAGTAAGACAAGAGGGCTGGGTCTTAAGCTGTGCCAGGGGAGGTTTAGGTTGGATATTAGGAAGAAATTCTTTCCAGAGAGGGTGCTCAGCCATTGGAATGGGCTGCCCAGGGAAGGGGTGGATTCTCCATCCCTGGAGGTTTTTAAGATGAGACTGGATGTGGCATCAGTGCCATGGGCTGGGAACCACAGCAGTAGTGGATCAAGGGTTGGACTTGATGATCTGGGAGGTCCCTTCCAGCCCAGCTGATTCCATGATTCTCTGAATCCCATGTTTGGGTTTCCCACCCTGCTCAATCCCTGGAGTCACTCGCACTCCCAGTGTCACCCACCCCCCAGGCTGGGTGGGCCCCAGGGCGACTGTGTGGGGACCAGACACGTGCCCACCACCCCCAGGTACCTTCATTGGTCTGGGCATTGAGGATCTGCAGGTCACTGTTGGCCTCCTTCAGCCTCTTGCAGGCCATGATGCGATGCTTGAGCTCTGCCAGGGCGATGCTGGGGCCGGGGAAGGTGACCACGTCCGAGCTCAGCAGGGAGGAGAACTTGTAGTGCACGTGTGACATGGCCCTGCAGCCACACACACACACACAGAGCCAGGAGTGACCCCTCACTGGGGGCACTGGGGCACTGCCTCAGTGTTCCACCGAGGGAGTTTTGGGACACGAACCCAGGGCACAGCAGAACACCCCCCACCCCACACTGTGACCTCACGTGACCAAGGGCACTATGGAAAAATCATAGAGACATGGAGCCCCAGGATGGTGTGGGTTAGAGGGGACCTTACAGATCACCCAGGTCCACCCCCTGCCATGGACAGGGACACCTTGCACTAGCCCAGGTTGCTCCAAGCCCCATCCAACCTGGCCTTGGACACTTCCAGGGATGGGGAAGCCACAGCTTCTCTGGGCAACCTGTGCCAGGGCCTCCCCACCCTCCCAGGGAAGAATTTTTTTCTTAATATCTAATCTAACCCTGCCCTCGATGTCAGTTTAAAACCATTTCCCCTTGTCCTGCCACAATCTGCCTGTATTTAAAGTCCCTCTCCAGCCTTTTTATAAGCCCCCTTTAGGCACTGGAAGGCCACAATGAGTTCTTCTCTTCTCCACATTTAACAGACCCAGCTCTCTCCTGCCATGGCTCCCCTATGACCTGTTAGGGTGTAAGGCAAGGACAGCTGAACCTGGCTGTAGAGCTGAGAGGGCAACCCCTTCCCCATGCAACTGTGCAACATTCCCAGTGCCTTCCTGCTTCTGCATGAGAAGAAAATGGTCTGGGCAAAAGAGCTTTTTAGTGAAGCAAAGGGTGAAAAAAAAGACATTTGCTAGAAAAGCCAATATCTGATAGAGATGCAATTTATTTTTTGTTTGTTTGGTTGGTTTTTTTTTTTAGAAAGAAGCTTCATTCTGCACCCAGGTGAAAGTTGGCTGGGACTGATACCTGCTGGCCTTCGTCTGCTTGGTTCTTCCTCAGTTTTTTTCTCTTCTCTGACTGAAAAACTGCAAGGCTGACCAAGCCAGCCAGCCCAATCCTAACAGGGTGTGCCATTCCCAAACAGAGAGGTGTAAGCTTCATCCATAGTAAAGGCTGTTGAGAAAGTCATGAGTCATCTCCCATTCTGCAAGTCAAATTCTTGGCTGTTTTCCCACTCCTGTTGATAGAACTGTAAATTACTTAAAAATAGCACTTAAAATTTGTAATTTTTTGTACCAGCAAGTTCTTTGTGCTGTTAAGAGAAAGGTTGTGCACTATAGACATATGACTATGTTTTCCTATACAGATGTTGTCTTCCCTCAGATGGAGTTCTGTTGTCATTTGAAAGCTTAGTGGAAGGATTTTTGGTTTTATCATGATCCGTGTCAGCCCTCTGCTACAGCTGCAGCATCAGGATTCAAGTTGTTTAAGCACTAAATTAAATTTTCACTTTCCATGCAGTTGTCATTTTTTCCAGTCCTCTTAATTCTTATCTTTAAATAAACAGTTTAAATATTTGCTTACTTGAGGTTAAAACAGTGCTATCCATCCTTGTCCTGTTGAGATAAGCTACTTGTTTGAAAGGCAGAAAGTTGAGATGACCAAGAAAATATTTAGAAGAAGGAGGCCTACAAGAGAGCTGGAGAGGGACTTTGGACAAGGGCCTGGAGTGACTGGACAAGGGGGAATAGATTTTAGCTGAAAGAGGGTAGATTTAGATTGGATATTAGGAAGAAATTCTTCCCTGTGAGGGTGGTGAGGTCCTGGCAGAGGTTGCCCAGAGAAGCTGTGGCTGCCCCATCCCTGGAAGTGTCCAAGGCCAGGTTGGTCAGGGTTTGGAGAAACCTGGGCTGGTGGAAGGTGTCCCTGCCATGAAATTAAATGGGCTTTAAGGTCCCTTCCAACCCAAACCATTCTGGGATTTTAGTCTATGTTCTTCAGCTGCCCAAAGCTGAGGAAGGGGAAAAGGAAAGGGAAGCACAAAAGAGCTGCTGCATAAGCAGGATAAGGGAGGGCAAGAAAGATCCTCGCAATGAGGATTTCTAAACTCCTTACAAAGCCTAGGTTCAGCTAGGTCTAACCTTAGCCTCAGACTTTGACAGTGGTGGTGCCCCATTTCCAGGGGAGAGTCACAGCTATGCAGTCCACCTGCACTTCAGGGATAGCCCAAACCAGGCTTATCCTGATGGTAATATTGATAGAGTGAAGCAGTTGGCTGCTAGTCAGTAGGGCAGAGAAGATAAATGTGTTTGCTTTAGCTTTGTTTTCTTCTGTACTTTGGTTATCTTGCATAATTTGGGGCTTTGAAACCACCTTTCAAAATATTTTTCCGAGGCACCTTCGTTTCCTTGTACCTGAGCCAGGAGCTTTCCAGCCTGCAAGTCCACCCCAGAGCACAGGGCCTGCTGCTCCTCAGCCAGTCTGATCCAAACTGGGGCTGAGGATCAAGTGTATCCATAAGAGGCACAGCAGTGATATTTGCAGAACTGCCTTGGGGCCCCAGTTGCCATCTCTGTATGTCCCTGGTTGTGTTCCTATCTTTGCAATTTTTTTTTTTTCAATAAGCAAGAGAGTTTTCTTCTGATAACAAAATTCAACATTGGCACATGGCTGGTTTCCAAGCAGTGACTGGATTTACTGAGCAGACAGGTGGGAGGAGAAGTGACAGCCCTTATCAGCACTAGGCAAAGGACTTGGGTTTCCACCCAAGTTTTTGCATCCTGTCTTCAGTTATGCAGGACTCTGGTGCCTATATGAGCATATTTTGTTGGATATGCAGGCAGAAATGCCAGGTGGGTCTGTTCCAGCTACTGTGCTTGCACTTGGCAAAGCCTGGTCCTCTCACTTGCTCACCATGGGTTTATTAGAAGGCCTGAAGCTGGGTGAGGAGCACTCCTTGCTTGCCACTTCACCTTCCTGCACATCTCCCTTGCTCTACAATCAGGCCTTTTACTTCCCTTACAGCAGCACCACGTGGTCTATCTGTAGGTTTCTGCTCAGAAATCCCAGGATTTGTTGTCTTGTCCAAAACCTGGCTTCTCTGCCAGTTTTCCCCCTGCTGCTGCTCTGCACATCAGTGTGGGACCAGAGCCAGTGTGAGTCAGTGTGGAGGGTACCAGGGGCTGTCCTTCACCCTCTGTCAGCACAGTCCCTTTTAGAGCAGGTTGTGGTGACCTGCAAGGGAAAGGGAGGCAACAGAGGCCGTGTCCTTGTGGTCTCCTTCTCTTGGAGGACAAACAGGATCTTGCATGTGATGCCAGGTCTGCGTGGGGTGGTATTGCCCAGGCTGTAAATCAGAAGTGAAAAGCCTCTCAATGCAGCTGAGGGTGAGCCAGGATGAGGAAAAGGAGAAGAAATGAGATGCTGAGGATGTTTTATTAGGGCAGGAAATGGGACAATGAGACACATGCAATGGCACTATCTGGGTATCCTCTCTCTCTGGTAATTATTTTGAGGCCATGATCACACCCACTCTGGTAGGAGTTGGAAGTCCTGGAGATAATAAATTTCCCAAAACTTGGGAGTGCAATGGGACCAACTGGACAGAGGAAACAAGCTCAAATTAATACTTCTGTCCAGCAAAGGCAACGGTATTAACCTTTTATGGGTAACAGAAATTGATAGAAAAGATATGGTTGTTCCAACCACAGAATCACCTCTAGTTAACTCACTGGGCACCAAAAATTTGTCTTTTACCCACAAAGCTGTAAGAAACTGGGCTTCACACCTTCCAGGGCTTGTGGTTCCTTTACCATAAGGTGACCTGGCCCCAGCACAGGGCCTCAGGGGCAGCAGGAAGGTTCATCCTCCCTCCCTGTGCCCACCTGTGGGCCTGGCAGTGCTGGTGGTGCTGAGGCTGAGACACAATAATCCCCAGAGTTCTGACACGTGTGGCCCTTCCAATCCAAACCATTCCATGATTCCATGATCATTCTATGATTCCTGGCCCTCTGCGAGCATCGTTTGTGTTTTTGTACACAACTTGCTCATTGGATGGTGGGCTCAGCCCAACATTAAGGCAGTCCCACCAGCACTGCATCTGGGGGACAGAACCCACAGTTCCCCCTGTGGCTGTCGCCCTGGGCACCCCCGTGGTGGCAGCAGAGCCACCACTGCTGTGAGGTCAGAGCTGTGTGCCCTGTGGCACAGGGGCAGAACCCACGGCTGCCCCGGGGCTGCTGCACTGGGCAGACCCCACTGAAGGGGCTGAGGACGCAGAGCTGAGCACAGAGCCCGGAGATGGCGAGAAAGGCTCCCCCCAGGAGACGTCGTGGGTCTGCCAGACGCTGCTTGGGCTGTGAGGATGAGGTGGCGGAGGTGACTGTGGAGCTGAGAAGCAGGTACGAGGTCGGCTGCTCCCGCCCGGGGTGTCACACTGGGGCAGTAGGATGGATGTGGCACAACGAGGTCAGTGGGGTTGGAGCAGCACAGGGAAGCTGACAGATCAGCCCTGTGGCATGCAAAGTCTTCCTTCTGTGGGGATAGGTCTAGGCCAAAAGCCTGGCTCACTCTGTGTGGGGAAGGGAAGGGTTTGGAGACCACCAGCACCCAGGGAAGAGGTGGGGGTGCCGTGGTGGGGAGAGCAGCCTGTGCTCCCTCTCTGAACAGCCACTGAGAGGTGCCTGCCAAGGGGAAGGTTTGGGTCAGGGGCCAGTGAGAAGGAAGACACAGGGTGAGAATTGGGCTGTGCTGCTGGAGGGGACTGCTGATACCAGCTTGTTTCTCTTCTCCTGGAAGCTGTGCAGATGCTCCCCTCACTGCAGCTCTGGTGAACCTTCATCTGGAAAGGGTCAAAGAAATTGCAAGTAAGCTCCTCACTGACACTTGCTGTGACATCCTCTGGGGTGAACTGGGAGAGCTGTGCTGTGCCAGAGCTCCAGCCCAGTGTCACTAGTGGCAGGAGAGGTGCAGGATGCTGCACTTTTCACCCCATGGAGGGATGTGTAGGGCCCAGTGCCCATGGCTGGCTCAGCATCCTACAGACAAGACCTCAAGAGACAGGCACGACTTTTCTATGGTTTCTTTGGCCCAGGGATGTTCCTGAGGCAGATTTGTCAACTGGCAGACGACCTTGTCTTCCTGGGGAGAAACCGTCTGAGCCCATACATCCTCAAGGCGTACGTACTGCGTGTTCCTGCTGTGGCCAGGGGGCAGGAGGGGGATGTCTGAGGGCCAGTGCAAGCAGAGGGGAGAACCGATGGTGTTCCTCAGCCAGCAGCCCGGGGCTCTCACCTGGGTGCTGTTGTGCTGCAGCCACTCTCAGGAGGCACCAAGAGCAAAGCCCCTTGGCAGTGCCACTGGCACACCAGAGCCAGAGCCCCCAGCTTTGGCTGTGGTAGGACAAACTGCCACGCAGCCAGGCATTTGGGGCAGAGCCAGGTGTCTGCAGGGGACTTTCCCCAGCTCTGGCGAGACATTGTGCAGGTCTGGGAAAGCTCTGGGAGCAAAGCCAGGCAAGACTCCTATGCTTCCCTGTTGTGAAGGGGTTTGCCCAAGACTTGGCTCATTGACAGCCCCAGGACTCCCTCTCTTTCAGGCAAAAGATGGTCCGGCAGAAGAAGAGCTTTAAAGTCTATGCCTTGTTGCTCTCAGTGTATCTTGGTGAGTTTTCACGAGCAAAGAGCTGAGAGCAAAGGCCTGGCTGTGCTGGATGCCAGCTCTCCTTTGGGGCCATTGTGTGTGGAAACTCCTGTGGCCCAAGTGCTCCCTGAGTGTGTCCTTGGCTGGGAGTGACACTCAGATCATCAGTAAGACTTCCCAGGTAGTCTCATGGCCACGCTACTGCTGCAGCCACTGGACTGAATGGTGTGCAAGGCTGCAAGAGAAGGGTGGAGGTACTTCCAAGGCTGAACTGGGGATGCCCAGAGGGAAGGGGCTGTGCAGGGGGGTGGATGAGGGGGCACCTCTCCTAGCCCATGCAGCCTGGTGCTCGCTGCAGTGAGGGGAAGCAGGGAGCAGCTCTGGGGCACTGAGCACACCTGAAGACTGAGCTGTGATGTCTGCTGAAGCCTGGGCTGATAGCCCCAGTCACAGGCACATCCCCTCTCTGCACCCCCCCTTCCACACCCCTCAGCTAACCTGCTGCCTGATTCCCAAGGCAGCAGGGAGGAGACAATGGTCCCTCAGGGTTGGCTGCCAACCCTGTCCAGTAACAGTTCCTTCATGGTGTGAATTGCAGTTGGAGTTTTCTGTGGGACCTCCCTGCCAGCGTGGACACTGCTGACAAAGGGAGTGATGCAGGTTGGTGACTCTTGTGGGATGGGCACCTCCTGCAAGAGAGTGTTGCTGATGGTGGCTGGATAAACCTCGGGCTCTTCTGCTTCCACACAGTGTGACCCAAAGAAGCAGCAGACTGTGCTGTGTCTTCCTAGGGAAGTCTTCCTGGGAAGCCTGGTGGCTCTGGCAGTGGATGTTCTAATGGACAGTTTTCCCTTGCAGGGGCTGACAAGTGTATTTCCAACAGGCTTGAAAACCTTCTGGTAAGAGATGTTTCCTGAACTGGAGCTGGGTCTGTGTAGATGTGTTAGCTGACCTTGCTCATTTTCCAAACAACAAAGGCTCCAGTACTTCCCTCCTGCCTTTGCCTTTTGCTCAGCTGTGGGATGGAGGGAAAGCACACGAGTGTCTCCTCGCTGACCTCAGGTGCTTCACCAAGCGGGTGGGCTGCTCTGACAAAATCTGCTTTTCTGTTCCTGCAGGAATTCAGACACGTTGACTGAAACCCAAAGGTTGCATCTTCTGCTGGAGGAGGTCGGTCAGCTGGGGGTGGAAATCAGTAGTGGGAAGAAAGTGACCCTGCATTTTGGGGAAAGAGGCTTGGCTGGGCAGAACTGCCAAGGCAGCACTCCTTGGGGTTGTTGGTGGGGTCAGGCTGTTGTGGCCACGGGTGCTGTTGCTCAGTCCTCGTGGCTCAGGTCAGCACAGTCTCACAGCTCTGGGGCACAGCTTGCCCTGCATGTCTGACACCCAGCTCTGCCTCCTTGGGCACTGGTGGCCGTGCTGAACTGTCCACTGACAGGGTCCTTTTCTGTGTTTGCTCACAGCTTTCCCAAGAATTGACCAAGATGACTTTGGAATCCTATGTCAAGACTGACTGGGCCCTGAAGAGCTCTGGTAGGGACACAAGCAGCCTGGTGTCCTTGACCTGTGCTTGTCTGTGTCCTGTCCTTGTCCTCCATGAGGGTGACTCTGGGGTTGGCCCCCCACATTCCTGTGCTGATGGCACAGGGATGACAGATGTTCCTGTGCTGGATAGGGGCTCTCCTCCTCTCTGCTGCACTTGGAAAGGGAATGACTGGGTTGTTCTTTGCTGCCTCCCAGCACTCTAAGGCCTGTGGGAGAAGCAGTCACCAGGCATGTGGCTGCTGTCACTGCCCCGTTCAGCTGGGCACCCCCACTGGTGGGGAGATGAGGACATGGAGCTGGACAGTGGCATCAGAAATGGTGTCTGAGCACCAGGCCCTCTCAGTCTGTAGCCTCTTGCAGCCATCTGCTCTCCCTTCCTTGCAGGAGCCACCATTGACACTCAGAGAACTTCCCAGACCTACGACTGCAGAGAGAGTTGGCTCTGCAGGATTTTATACTTCTTCTGGACTGCCAACCCTCCTGATACTATTCTGCAGGTATCTCAGCAGAAATCATCAGTGCCAGTTTCCTTCCTTCCTGTGAAGCTGGGGACTGTTCTCAGGGGCTGCTCAAGCCACAGTGTAGATCAGGTTCCTCAAAGCAAAGCTGGAAGGCAGGGCTGGCCTTGCTGGGAAGCAGCAGTTCCCCTTCAGAGGGGAGTGGAGCTGAACTGAGCTGTACCTGCATGCTGCCCACAGCCCTCAGCCACAGCTGGGCGAAAGGCTTTCTTTCTTCCTGGTGGCCCTGTGTTATGGTTTAGCTAAATTTCTTCATACCATCGTGTGGTTTTGGAGAAGTGCAGGGCACCACCACCTTGCCCCCACCACAAGGTGGGGAGCAGGGAGGGAGGAGGGGTCCCACCGGGAAAAATACTGCTAGAACTTAGGAGAATAAAGCTGCTGGCAGGATGGGAACTTGCTCTCTTTGGTTCCTGGGACTGCACCCCCAGCTTTTCTGTTATTGTTTGGTTGTTGTTTTGTTCTCTGTCTTTAGTAAAACTCTTATTCATTTTCATGCTCCACTCGAACGCCTCAAAATTTAAAAAAAATTCATAATTTGTGGGGAGGGGTTTTCATTCCATCAGAGGTCCTGCCTCCTGGGACACATTGTCAATAAACCAAGACACCCTGTTTCCACACTCATCCCTAAGAGCCACTTTTCACAGATGGGTGGTGAGAACAGGGGGGATGCCCCACAGAGACCCTGGGCAGAGGTGTTTCTGCTTGGCCCCGATTAGGCTGGTTTCATAATCAGTATTCTCTGTTCTGTCATGCTAATCTCCTTTTGGCTGGCAGGGAAGGCCTTCTACTTCTGTCCATTTCCTCACAGGTGCCTTATTTTGAGGTTGAAATAGAACCCACAGACACGCCAGCCCCAACACTTCAAACCACGTGGGCAGCTCTGTTGGCCCCAGCCTCTCACACCTCACTGCTCTCGCATTCTGGTTGCAGCCAAATGTTTCCCCAGGAAGCTGCTGGGCTTTCAGTGGGCATCAGGGCCAGGTGGTCATCAAGTTGCCAGCACGAGTCCACCCTACTGCCATCACAGTGCAGCACATCACCAAAGACGTCTCTCCGAGCGGGACCGTCATCAGTGCCCCCAAAGACATCGCTGCCTTTGTGAGTCTGCTGGGCACTGCTGGGGGGGTTCTGGGCCTGGGGGGAAGCCAGGACAGGGTCTTGCTTGCTTTTGTGTGTCCTCTGAGCTTTGTGTCCGGCTCTCTCCTGAGCACTGCAGTGCCCAAGTGCAACACTTCAAGGGCTCGAGAGGTTCATCCTTCTTAGGACTTGTTCTGGTTCTTGACCCAAATTCAAGGCAGAGCCTGAGCTCTACCCTAACCAGTCCTAGACTACTGTAGAGCCCCAGGAAAGGCTGGGTAGGTAGGTTTCCTCTTTGTTGGGATGGGTCTGAGCTGCTCTCCTCATGCTTTGCCCCCGAGGGAGTGGATGCAGCCGGAGAAGAGGAATCTCTCCTGGGGACATTCACCTACAACGTGGAAAAAGAGCCCATGCAGACTTTCCCTCTGAAGGTACACTCCATGCACGGGGGACAGATGCCAGGGAGCAAAACGGGTTTGCCTGCAAGTGCATGGCAGGGAGGGTGGGAAGGTTTCCTCCCTGGGCAGAGGGTCATGGACCATCTGACAGAGACCTGGAGGGGCTGGGAGGGCTGAGTTGCCAGATGCACATGCAGCCACTCCACCCAGCAACGACCTCGTGCCGTGGAGAAATGGGGACGAGTGGTGGCACAAGCTGTCAGGCATCACTGTTGCTTCCACCCTGTGACCTGCTGACAAGCTGGACAGTGTCCTCCCAGCACAGCATGCCCCTTCTCTGCCACTGCTCTCAGCCTGCCAGGGATGGCAGGAGCTCAGTGGGGTCACACACCAGCTGCACTGGAGCACCTCCCCAGCCCCTCTGACACCACAGAGCAAGGGGCAGAGGGAAGGGAGATGCAGCCCCAGCCAGGCTGGCATGCAGAGGATGATGCCAAGTGCCTTCCCTTGTCCCCAGCCTCCCCAGGAGCCCTGGCACCAGCAGCAAGCCTCAGATGTCCCCTGTTTCTCCCACCTGCTTTTGGGAGCTTGCTCCTGAGCAGGAAGAGGGCTGCCAGGCTGCTGATTCCATGGTGATTTCACTGTGGCTTTTAATGCTCCCATTTTTGCTCTTCACAGGATGTGCTGCCTCCCAGAGCCTTTTCCTATGTCAAAATTCTCGTGAAGAGCAACTGGGGAAACCCGTGGTACACCTGCATTTACCGAGTGCAGGTTCATGGAAGGAGGGAAACCCAGAAAGCCTCAGCCAAGATCCAAGATGAATAAGGAAGAAAATGCAAAAGAAGAAAGGGCAGGGGGTGTGAGGGACTGAAAAAAAGTTATTAAAAAGTTATCAATAGCTTGGAATTATCCTGGGTGGGGCTGGGGAGGGGGGAAAGGGCAAATTCTGCCAAGGGGAGACACTGCACTGCCCCATTCCACAGGAGTCCAGAGCAAATCAAACCAACACCATGCAGCCACTGCATGGTTCATGGCCCTTCCTGGATCTCTGGCAGCTGCATCTACGCTGGATCTAAGGTAGTAGCAATAATTCTCTCTTTCTCTCTCTCTCTTTCTTTACTTCTTCCTCTTCTCCTAATTTCCTAAATTCCTTGAATATTTGGGTAACTTAAAGCTGGGGTGGGTTGGAATTTGCTAATTCAATGCTTTGTGAAATGCTTTATGTTGACTGAATGCTTGTTTTAAGCTTTTACCAAGCTCTCTTATTTTCCAAAGTTTGCCAGGATGCTATTTTGGCTCTCTGAGAAGCATTGTAGTGTTTGTCCTGTGTGTGGCCTTGAAGCATAAAAGAATTGAAGGCCCCTTTTAATGAATCCATTGGATTTGGAAGCTTTTTGTCTTTTTGATGTAAAAACCCTTCAATGAGCTTGTGTGAAGAGCCTGGAACTTTACAAGGGACAAGAAAGGAAATGAGGGGAAATGGTGTGGCAACCCGATGCTGATTTTAGAGGGTGCATGTGGGACTGTGCCAGGGGAGTTTTAGATAATATATTAGGAATCACAGAAACATTGAATCTCCTCTGTTGAAAGGGACCCACGAGGATCATCCCTTCAGGTCCTGCATCCAAGTCATTAATGAAGATGTTGAAGAGCACAAGGCCTAAGATAGAGCCTGGGATGTTGATTTGGAAGCCAGTGCAGTTGACTTGGAAGTGACCTCAGCATCACCATCCTGGCTGGAAGGTCTGTAGCAGACTCCCATGATGACATCTGCATTATTTGTTTGCCCCTTGGTTCTTACCCAGAGGTTCCCAACTGTGCCATTGCCAACTGGGAGCTCCAGACATTCCAACCCTTCTATCACATCCGATGCCAAGTGCCACACCCACTGCCCTGCCCACCCCTCCTGAAGAGCCTGTAACTGTCCAGAAGAACCAGGTGAAGAGTTTTCTGGGTGAAGAACCTTCTGGGTGAAGAACCAGAGCCCAGAAGGGTGGTCAGGCACTGAAACAGGCTCACAGCACCAAGCCAGCTGTGGGACACAGGGTGAGCTCGTTGTGGTGGTCCCGTGCAGGGACAGGGGTCGCAGGAGTTGGACTCCATGATCCTCGTGGGTCCCTTCCAAGGCAGGAGATTCCATGACTGGTTGTTTCCAACCCATCTCTTCTAAACACCTGACACAGTGATATATGTGTCCTGTCCCAGAAAAGGAAGAGTGGAAGCCACAAGTCCAGGGTTTAAGATGATGGCACAGTGCATGGAAACATCTACTCCTTCACCATAGATGTGTAGGGAGAGACTAATTTGTGCCACAGCTTAGCACTACTGACTAAAATAAATAAAGCCTTAGGCCCCAGGAATTGTATTTTAGCCTTTATTTGATCTGTAGAACTGTAAGCAGTAGATAAGGAAGTACAAGTAAAACTTTAACTACGGGATATCGTGTAACCAAGGGCAACAAAATGTCTCCAGAAACAGACAAAAAGGGGGCCATGAGGCTGCTGGAAGGAATCAGAAGAGCCCTGGCATGGCAAACAGGGTTGGATGAGCAGAAGTACCATCAGGAAACCAAGTGACCTACAGAGACTATAAAATCCTTTAGCAGTCGACAAGCAGGGCCTCTCTTTGGAGGCACCAAGCTCAAGTTGTGACTACCATTGCATAATAAACACAGCAGAAGAAGGAACCCTCTCTGATTCTTTTTATGAAGCACAATTCAGGGACGAGCCCTGTTGCAGTGGCCTCTGTGTAACTCCTGCCATAATCTGGTTGGGGGCTGTATAATTCCTACAATGAGTGGGATGGCTGAAACCCAGCAGTTGGAAGGGTCTGTGGGAGGATATGGTCTCAATTCCCAGTTTTCCACAGGCAATGTGGTGGCCTGTATGGTTATTTTTCTTAGGTTAGTTTTTCCTGTACTCCCATTGAATCTTTTCTTTCTGTTGCTCACTGTGCTGCCATTGTTGAACCTCATCTGCCTGGGTAGTTTCCCTTCTCCTCAGGCCATGGGAGGATCATGGGTTCCATCCTCCCAAAAGTACATGAAGGGCAAGAAGGGGACCTGAAACAGTCACCATGGATTGACCACGGCCAGATTGTGGCTGAGCAGCCTGATTGTCCACTAAGATGACACATCAATTCCAACAAAATATCTTGGATAAGAAACTCCCTCAATCAGTTGCTCCAAGGCTCTGATGTCTCTCTTGATTACCTTCAGATTTCTGGTTGTTGGTGCTTCATCACTGCACACAGCCCTCCCACCCACCTGCATCTGCACTTGCTTCACCCTTTTGCTGGTTTCCTAAAGCTCCCTGTGTCACCAAAATTTGGGAATGAAACTCCTTAAGATCAGTGTAACCTTAGGCAGGCATTACTTTATTATGGTGCCTGATGCAGGAGAGAGAGCTCCTGCCTAATGAGCACCCCTGGCTCAACACATAAATGTATTTATTAGACAGGATATACACATTCATCAGAAAAGTGTTGCAGTTTGTCCACCTTTGTTCATTGTTCATGGTCCACACTGGGCATTTCTGCATGTGAATCGCTCTCTTTTTTGCACTTTTGTTATTAATATTGTTGCTGTTACTGTTCATCTTCTTATCTCATTGCTGTTTCCAGTAAATTGTTCTTATCCCAACCCCTGATCTTTGCCTTTTGTGCCTCCCATGGAGGCAGAGAGGGGAGCAGCTCATGGTCTTTTTAGTGGGAGTACTAAACTGGGGAATACCATTCCTAAACCATGACAAGGGGGGACACAGCTGGGACAGCTGACCCCCCCTGGCCCAGCCCATATGGCATCATGCTCAGTGTATAAAGCTGAGGGAAGAAGGAGGAAGGAGTGGGACATGTGGAGAGGTGGTGTTTGTCTTCCCAAGCCACTGTTGGTACATGGTGGAGCCCTGCTTTCCTGGAGGTGGCTGAACATCTTCCTGCTGATGGGAAGAAGTGTGTTAAATATTTATTTTGCTTTGCTTGCATTGCATGGCTTTTGTTTTCCCCATTAATCTGTCTGTGTCTCAACCCACCAGTTTTCTCACTTTTAAACTTCCGATTCTCTCCCCCATCCTACCAGGTGGGAGAGATTGAGTAACTCAGCAGAGTACTGGGGTTAAGCCATGACACCCACACAAGGCAACCACAACCTCTGATCCATGATACTTGGAATAATATCAAACTGAGGACTGCTGGATTGTCTGTGGAATGCCTCAGCCTTGCAGAACCAGTGAAAGAGTTACTGGCACCTTCCAGGAATGTTTTTGGAGTTTGGCCCACTTCCTTATTGGCTTTTTACTGTAAAGACCGCCCAGACTTCCCAGTCGTGCTTGCCTAGCCAGCTGATCCTCCTCCTGGAGGAAGGAATAAAAGGCAGCCCTTGGCAGACAGACAGCTCAAGTTGCTTTGGCACATCTTGCTGTGGACTGCATGATGAGAAAGTCAATGCTGTTCCTCGGCTTCCTTCTTGCCTTCCTTGCTCTGGCTCTGCCAGGCACCCAGGGAAAAACCATCTCCCGATGTGAGATGGTGAAGATCCTACGTAGGAATGGATTTGAGGGCTTTGTGGGCAAAACTGTTGCTGATTGTGAGTATAACGAGCTGCCATTGGACCTCTCTGCCTCTACCACCCTTCTCCCTCTCAACTTCTTTGTGATGTTCCAGCAGCACTATTCTGTCCCTCCATTCCTTTGACTTCATCATCTCTCTTCCTCATCCCCTTCCGTGCTCCCTTGTTTAGTTTACACAACAAATACCCAGCCAGAGCTTCATCCCTCCAAGCATTTACCCATCCAACTCTCAAGCTTACAATATCACCAGTTTAATTACTTCTTCAGCACCTCACTCATCCTTAATCCTTCCATCTCTTTCCTTTTATTTACCCTGGGCATACCTTGATGTTCTCCTGTGGGATGTCTCCTCCTCCTGCAGGGATGTGCCTGATAAAATACGAGAGCAGCTACAACACCAAGGCGTACAACAACAACGGGCTGAGCAGGGACTACGGCATCTTCCAGATCAACAGCAAGTACTGGTGCAACGATGGCAGGACAGCTGGAGCCAAGAATGCCTGCCAGATCAGTTGCTCAAGTAAGTGGTGGGACAGAACAAAGAGCCTTTCTTTGTCCACTCCTTGAAAGCACCTGCTCTGTCCGTGATTCCTGCCCAGCAGCCGCTCTGGGCATTTCTATCCATGTGTCCTTCTATTCATCCATCTTCTCAGTGTCCCACCTTCCCTTCCTGATGAACACCTTTCCTTCTGCCAATCTGTCCCTGCTCTTCCTCTGGCCCTCTTTCCTCCACGCTGACTTTTTCTCTTTTCTCTACAGAACTGCAAGATGACAATATTGAGGATGATATTCGGTGTGCCAAGAAGATTGCTCAGGAGGCTCGTGGCCTCACTCCCTGGTAAGGATATTTGCAGTGGACACTGGAGAAGAGTGGGCAAAGGAGATAAAAAAAATCCTGCTACTAACTGGGGGGGAGGGGAGAGGGAGCAATGGGTGAGAAGCTGTATTTGGTAAAGGTTAGCACAGTCCTTCTCCTAGAGCTGAAAGTAGTGAGGAGTCCTCACCTTCAGCACCTGCTCTAGCTCCCTAAATTTCCCTCCTCTCCCAGAGGTCTCCCTTTTTGTTCTCTTCCCCCAGATCCCTTAGAGTCTTTCATGCCCACCTTTCTTCACCCAAGACTCTCAAAGACTAACCAAGTCTGTTTTTATAACCAATTCAATCCTCAAACTGCATAATGTGTTTGTTCTCCAGGTACGGCTGGAAAAACCACTGCCAGGGCAAAAACCTGAGTTCCTTTGTCAAGGGTTGCTAAATCACTCCACAGGCATCGATTGTTTTCTCAGCATCACCAGAAGTGAA